AGTGTGTTTAGGGTTTATTGTTGTGGGCGCTGCTTAGCGTGGTTATTAGAGCAGTAACAATCTCAAGCAAACACACCGGAAAAGTCATCCTTACCCAAATGGTTTGAGGAATGCTTCTCGTCTCTGAGCGCAGAAAGAATTACCTGAAAGATCAAAGCTACAAAGTCTGCTGGAAACATGAAAACCCAATGGTGTGAGACACCATAAAAGGGTTAAAAACGATGATGTAAATCATGTGTGTTGGTTATAATGTTGTTAAAGCGCAGACAGAACCTGGAGGTATAATAAATAATCTTTGAATACCTGAGAGCCTTGTGGCCTCTCTGTCATTAATCAGAAACCACAGACTGAGGGATTGGCTGGCAAAACATTAATCATTAAGCAATTAATTCCAGCCGTGAAAACAAAACTCTGTGATTTCCTGAGTAGGTGGGATTGAAGGAGGCACGGCATGTTTTTGCTTTTTCACCATAGAGGAAATAAAGAAAAACTGAGGAGGTCATACATTCATCATTCAGATGGGATAGAAAATCTTCCTTATTATCCAGTTCTTCCCTTCCTTTTTTTTTATATGAAACAGGAAGAGGGAAAATCACCACGGGTTTTCCTAGGAAGCAGTAATGAGCCTCTTGAGCTTAAACCTTTTTAGATGTGATGCTAACAAAAAAGAGCTTTATTTCTTGTGTCTTATATGTTCTCCATAAAAGCATGCTAGAAATAAGTTTTTATTCTCAGCAGCATCACCAGCCGTAATAGTTGTCCTGTGAGAATCAAGACATCTGTCTTTTCTCTTTTCCCCGAATCCCAGTTTCTAATTGTTTACCGATTACCTTAGGATCTTAGTTTTCCTTACTTTTAGTATCTATAGCTGTGGAGAAACCTAAAAATGCAAATATTAAAAGCTGAATAATCCGAACACAAGGAAAGTGGAGTTGAAAATGTGTACTTACTGATTTTGATTTTCTGCGTGTCATTTAATTTTGCAGATACTTTAATTAGTTCAAGGGACCTAGATTATATTTTTTTCATATTTGGGATTGGAAATGCTGCTGGAACTGCCACTCATGTTTTTAAATCTGAAACTTACACATAAAAAAGAGTCTTAATCATGTTTTTCTCGCCATTACTGAGTGGAAACCTGGCCCCTCAAGGGCTGTAAGCACGACTTTACAACCAACTTCAAGAGACCACCTTTCTGTAAAGTACTGTTGGATGGATGGTGAGGCGTGATATAATTAGAAACTGCCTAACTAGCGACTGGGCCTAGATAATTTTCCTAGTGCCATGTGAGAAGTTTGTGACAGAAACCAACTGTGGTTCTTTGGCTGGTACCTAACGCCTGGCCATCTGCCTCGCCAAGCTGACGGCATAAATACTGGGGGAGCAACTGCGGGAGCTGTTACCGCAGATCAGCCTGGTCAGTGATTGCAGTAGGCAAAGGACCTTGTTGCTGGCTTCTGAAGGATTATTCATCAGCTTGAGACACCATACAGTCATTTTCACAGCAGCGTTCAAATGCCACCTTCTCCTTGCATAAAATGTGTGGAAATACCTAGCCACGAGACATGCAAGGAAAACTTTTAGCAAAATAGATGTCACAATTCATGCAGTGTACCCTTTCAACTATAAAGACGTCATCAAAGCCAAGGGTTTTACAGAAATGAGTATGCTGCCTTTGCGTTGTGTGGCAAAGATACCTTTACATACAGCGGCTTCCTTTCATCAGGCGGCATGTTAGAGTTCACGCAGACAATCCATAATGTTTATCCCATCCTCTGCTCAGAGGCAGTGTATGGCAAAACGCAGTGCATATATTAATATGTTAATTAGTTACAAGATTGCCATCCTCTTTAGAGATACAGTTCTTGCCATAGGTGTCAAAAAAACCCCGAAGCTTAAAATAAGTATATTCAGTATGAAAAGTTTTGAGAAGATGTTCAGCTGGGCAGAAGACAATATATACTGAGAAACAGAATGTTTTGTACTTGTCCGTTATGTCAGTCTTGTTACAGAGAGCTAATTGCCACAGTCCCTAGCTAAGCAAAACACCTCCTGAGAGCAGAATCTGTCCGGCACAGATGGCCTGAATTCATGCTTTGCTGCTGAGATTCTAACTGTGATTATTCTTCATTTCCTCCTCCCTCGACTTGTGACTTAGTCTCGTTTGAGAAGACAGGATGTCGGCTTGAAAAGCCACCTGGATCAGCTAGACCAGCGAATAAGTGAGCTGAAATTGGACGTCAGTAAGACCTCCAGTGAATACTTGGATAGTGACAGCCGGCCCAGCTCAGGTAATGTGCACTTAGTCTCTTATTCTCAGAGGTGTGGTGCTAGGAGAACTGAAGGATGTCAACTGCCAAGCAAAACTCTCTCTATTGTTTGGTCAGAAAGAGTGCCCCGTGGCTGAGGTGGAGAGTAGTCATCTGGCACAGAGCACACTCACAGAGCTGGTGGGAGTTTTCCTGCAAAGTTGATGTAGTTGGAAAATGCTTATTCGCTCAAACAGTATTTTTTCTGGATTTTTTTATTTTAAAATGGACATTTTAGCCACAAATGGAAGGAGGAGGAGACAGAATTATTAATTAATTATCGTGTCCAGTGCAGAATGACCATTGGCAAAATGGCTAGAGTATTTACTAGAAGTGAAGGAGACCAACATCCATGTCAATCCTCTGCTTGAATCCAAGAAGGGTCCTGAACCTCACTAAGGCTTTGAAGATCACTAACACAGCAGCGCTCTGGCCAAATGAATGTTTGATCATTTATATAAAAATGAAACAGCACTATTAAAAGACACTGAGAAAAAACATGCCAACAGTTTGCTGACTAAAGCTCTCATGGACAAAAAGATTGAGTTTCAGGTTTCTGGTCTGATTCACAGAGCGTGCTGTACTGCAGACTTTTATAGCTATGTTGTCTGTTAAAACCAGTTTCTGTTGTCTAGTCTGGGACAATGGGAATACTTTTTAAACAGAATTTTGAAAAGCCTTAAGTCTTCAGGGAGACAAGGAAAGAAATTTTTTATTTACAGCATACGGATTTGCAGCCTGGTACTTGGAGTAGGTATAAAAAGTGCAAGTTTCTGTTGAGTGTTTAAGTTCAGTTGTGTGCTTAGGCACATAGACACAGTTCAAAAGGAAAAAGCTTCCTTTTCTGTTTGCTTTATATAGAGAGGAATAATTAAAATTCCTATCTTGAATTAATACAGAGCCTTTTTTAATACTTCCATAATTAATTGGCAATGATCGTAAGACCTGGAGGGGGAAGATAGCCTCCATTCTCTGCCCTTAGACATTCCAGCTGTCATAGACCTGGCAGCTCTGATCACAGGCTAGTTTTACTCTACTTTCCCATCCAAGCTGTGCTTGTATGCACCTAGCACAAGTTACAACAGTGTAAGATGGCCCTGTTTTACACCAGTTGCATAATAGTCCCCAAAGACGTTTTCCAGTGAAGAACTGGGTGTGATGGTGCCGCACTTCACCCCATCCCACCCTCAGAACTGAGCATGCATGTGCGTGCCAAGCTGGCTCAGGGCCTAAGTAAATATGCAGAAACCCAATAAAAGGTGGTTGAATTAGAGCATACCTCTGCTAAAGTTACCCAAAAAAATGATCGTAAATTTAGGCCTGTGGCACACAGCAAATGAAGATTTATTTTATTAGCTGCATTTTTCTTCTATAGAGCATGTTTAGTTACTGTAAATAAGAAATATCTTATCTATTTTAACTCTGCAGGCTTCTATGACCTGAGTGATGGTGGTTCTTGCTCCCTCTCCAATTCTTGTACCTCTGTGTACAGTGAGTCCATCTCCTCCTCCCACACCAGTCTCTTGCCCGGCTCTCAACACCCTAAAGCAAGGCTCAGTGTGTTTGATTACCGACCCAAGTCTGCAGATGAAACTACTGTGCACACCACCAGCTTCCAACAGCAGGGAACCTATGTCAGCGATGGATGTCGGATTACAGCTAGCACAGACATTTCTGGGACTCCTGCCAGGTCCCGACCAAGGCCAGTTTCCACAGGTAATTGACTGCAGGACTGGATACTCATTCAAGGGAAGGGCAGAATCATGGTTATTACTTTTAGGACCTATTATACCAATGTGTAATCAATATATAGCACTCATATTCAATACACAAAGTGAGAATTAATCCACAGAGCCAAACCGTTTACTGTCCAACTTTCACTCGTCTCCATACTCAGATACTTTTAAACAATAACAAATATGAGGACGTATGCATTTAGAAATGGAAAAATATTTAAATGTATGAGATGATAAAATTCTAATGAATATTGAGATACTTTTTTTAATTTACCTGCTTGTGAAATCAGAAAAATTGCGATATTTGAAATATCTTCTGTGAAGGTGCAGGGATGTATGAAAAATATAAGGTGAATTCAAAATTAGAAGTGATGCATTTTACTGAGAAAGATTTTACAGAAATCTAAGGAGGAAGAGACACTTCCAGACTTAGTGCCTGTTTTCTCAATCCGTTGTAAAATGAACATGATAATACTTCTATATACCTTGCCCTATTTATTCATATTAATGTGGACTCAAACAATACTCTTTTTCATAATTTATTATGTACAGTTAGGGATAACAGACACCAAAGGTTAATTGACTGTCTAGGAACCAGTCATGAGCTTAATAGTGAATGAACCATGAATTTGCATCATACCTTTAGACAAAATGGACAAGTCCGTTAATATTCCAAATCTCTTGTTTACCCATCTGTGAAGTGTCATCATATCACTTCTTATTTTGGGTCCTTCCATGGCCTCAGAGCAACCTTGTGTTAGCGCAGTTCATATGGTAACCCAGCCAGATGCGTGCCAGTTCCGTTACAGAAAGAGGGAACATGCATTTTAAGTACTGTGTCACTCTGGAGTCATTCCCACAGCTTCTTGACCTGAGCTAGCTCACCTCTGGCTTGCTGGGAGCAGAAGCAAAGACCACCAGTTCTGTACGTACCTGTGCAGGCACATCTGAAGCAATGGTGGTAAATGACAGCATAAAAGCAAAGTATTCTCAAGGCTTCTCAGAGGCTGGGGATGGAGCTAAGCTTCATGCTTCATGGCTTCCATGTTCACATTACAAACTTCTTGTTCTATCAGAAACTTTCCTGCCTTGCAACATTTTGCTAAGACCCCAGGGGCTTTATGGTTTTTTTAATAAGGAGATAGACTAAGAGAAAAAGGGATAGCTGATGTTAAGTAGGGGTACAGGAGCGAGGCTACAGCCCTCCTTCAGCCCTCCTTCCTTTTTCCACCACTACCTCCCTTCTTCCTGGCTACAACCTCTTCCTTCAGTGTGGGAAACATAAGCAGTGGGGTAGTAGTGGGTGTAGTCTTGAAGAAACAATTCGCAACAACAAAGTTGACCACATTGCAGGAAGTGAGGCAAGGTATTACTTCAGAAAAGCATCATTTGGAGAAGGGAAGAAATTTCTCTTTTCCTCTCCTTAGCTTGTGCCCACAGGTAACTGCAGATACAAACTGATTGCCTTTTCTTTTAGTGGCAAGTGGAAAGCTTGCCGAGATGCCACAAGCACAGCATTCTTTTGACACCTTCCTGGTTTGTTTGTCCAAGAGAGCAGCACTACAGACTGCCAACGATTTCCTAAAGAATTTTCGTTCTGAAAATATGTTGTTTGAGAAATCATCATCCTAACCTTTGCTGTAGCAGGTCTGTAAGTGCCTTAGGTAGGACAATGCCAAATTTTGAAGTCTTTCAAAAGCTTCCTGTCACAGGACAGAAATAGTCGCTCTAAGTGAAATATGTGGTTAGATTTGATGGTTGGGTTTCCTGGTAGCATGAAGCAGCCAGGAAATCAGTTAGCTGAGGATTTGTTGGCACTGAAGTCTGCGCTGTTGTACAGAGAAATCCAAGCTAACTGCAGATGGTTCCAGTACTCTTGGTACCAGAGGTAACACAGCACCATAGCACTCTATCGGATGACTTGTCTGGATGGAACAGTCTTACTTCACAGGAGAACACAGCCTGTCCTCTCAGCACGCAGGAGATGTTCCTGAGAGGAAGGTGCAACAGCCAAGTGTAACTCACAGCAACCTTGACAGTACTCCAAAATTTAAGAGATCTGAATTGGTGGCCATAAATGCCATCTTCAGGCACTGAGCCTCCCATCTGCCCGAGTAGTTACCCTTAGATTTTTTTCTCTGTCAAAATAAAGGTTCTTTAGTCCATTCTTCTACATCCTTAAGGTTGACTTTTAAAAACCCCACACCTAGAATTATGGCATTCCGGATTTTCTGCCTTTTAATAAAACCTCTGAATATTTCTTTCTAGAATTGAATACTCTTAAGAAGTTAGTTACTTTAGAAAGGCATGAGACTGGTAATGTGCTTATCAAATGAAATGAGAGATCCAGTTAGGGAGGTTTCATTGGATCTGGGGTTTAGGAAAAGTAGAATCACATCACTCTCTGGCCTACGGGACACATGCGTCTTAATGGCTCTCCTGTGTGCGTTGAGGGCTTTTGTTTACTAATGCCTTAGTAAAGTGAAATGCAAAAGAATAAACAACTACAGCTTCCAGCATGTAAGAGGTTAAGAAACACTATAACCTAGTGTCTGCTTAAGTCTGCTTAAAGCAGCTGGTTGAGTACTATAGATTTTTCCAAGACACGTGATATAAAAGTGTTGGAGGAAAAGCTGGAATTCAAATTTAACCACTATAAAAAAAATACCATTGACTCCGCGTGCTGGAAATTTCAGGAATTTCTGAGTCATATATCCAGAGGAAGTCTTTATCCTATCCTAGGGGCAATGTGTTCAAAAACTATATCTGCTGTATTGGATAATTTTACATGACATTCAGCTTCAGGCTTTCTGGTTGTTGGATTCACTTTTTATCTCTGCCAAGAAATAAAAATAATCCCTTATTTTTGTTTAATTGGTTGGATTCCTGTTAGTCTGTGACATTCTAGAACATTTTTATATGTGCACAGATTTACTTTCATCCAAGTAGCACAGTTTAAATTTCCTGCAAAGGCATGAGTTTTATTACTAGCATTAAAAGTCATTCTAATCTCTGTTATGGTCAGGTAAATAAAAGCCTTGAATTAATTCAGTGATCTTGCAGGACTGAAACTATTTTCTTCGTTCATGCTACTGATTTTAGTAAAAGCTAGCACATCCCTCTGAAGCAGCACTTTTAGCATAAGCCAGTTTTAATGTAATTGCCTGTGATTTAATTAGGTTATTTATTTTCATCCACTGTGTAGGTGACTTGGAAAGACTCATTCCAGCAGACACTAGATTTCAGAAAGAGATAGATCCCAAATCCGTGTTGCCTCTGTGCCGTGCCGGAGACACGCACTTGCTCAGCGTGGACCCCAAATTCCAGAACGACTTGGTCTCCAAGAATGGCATTGATGTGTATCCTTACCCAAGCCCCCTTCATGCGGTGGCTTTACAAAGTCCCCTTTTCTCCCTGGTGGGGACATCCCCAGAAGCAGACCTCCAGGCTCCTCCCAGCAAACCCATGCCTAGTGCGGCAGGTCCCAGCTTGGTTAGGACTCAGCCAACCACTGAGGCCAAGCCAGGGGGTTACATCAATAAATTACTGCAGCTGACGAGATGCAAAGGGAACAATCGGGCTGATGCCAGCGAGGGGGTTTCAACAAAGAGCCAGCCAGCCACAATGCACCAGAGACTCATTATAACCCCCAGTGCCGGTGGAGTGAAAATTAACAGCAGCAGTAGCCAGCTGGAAAAACAAGCGAGTTCTCTGGAAAGTAACAAAGCTGAAGGGAAGCTGCAGAGAGAGGTGCTGGAGGGGGAATGTGCCAAGCAGCAGGAGGCCATGCGCTGTGTGAATGAAGAACAGCCATCCACTCGGCCTGACACAGAGCCATCAGCTGTGAATAGTTGTTATCCTGCCAAGTCAGCAGCAAGGGGCTCTCCTCTGGCAGAAGCAACGGAGAGCAGCGTGGAGCGCAGTTCCTCCTGCTCGCAGCTGTGCCAGGAGGACTCCAGCCTGGGCACCTGGAACGCTAAAGCCATCCCACCCAGAAAGCTGCCCCTCAAAAGGTGTGGCAATGCCAAATTGGCTAACGGCGGGTGTCATGAGCGAGTGGCACGCAGCGAGTTTGTTCATGCTCAGTTCGTCCCTGCAGAATCCCACCAAGTCCGGGTCAAGTTTGCCAGCTCCAAAACAAAGGCAGTGAAGATAAAGAGGAGGAATAGTGAAAAGGTACTACGGCCTGGAAAGCAAGCCTTTTGCGTGGAGAAGGCGAGAGGGTCCCATGGGGCTGCCAGGCTGCCTGCTGAGTGGAATCAGTCCCAAAGACCCCATGGAGCGAAGAGCCTCGTGCGGAGACCTTCGTATTCTGGTGACGTGACCGGCAGGTCGTGCTCGGAGTCTAGCCTGTTCCCTGTGCAGGTCAGGCTCCCCACCGCGCCATCCAGGCCGGAGCTCTACAGAGCCTCTGCCAATGCACTGTATTCCCTCGAAGCAGCTTGCGTAGACACAGCCAACAAGAAGAAGCAGCGCAAGTGGCAGTCCACGGTCGAGATCTCTGCCAAGGCCCACCTGGCCAGCCTCTCCAGTAGCTTTGGCCTGGGAGTGCCCAGGCAGCCAGCAAGGAGAGCTGGTGTCCTGCGCACTGTCAGTATGAGGGCTCGCTCCAAAAGTCAGCGCCACGGAGCTTATGCCAAAAGCGAGTCGGACCACTCCGAGTACTCTGCAGAATGCGCTTCCCTCTTTCACTCCACCATTGCAGAGACCAGCGAAGGGGAGGTCAGCGATTTCACGACTAACCGTTTCGGGGACAGTGAGTCCAGCGAAAGCGATTCGGATGGCAGCAGTAACAGTAGCAGCCTTGCCCTTGACTATGATGAGGCGGATGAAAGTGAGCTGATCTGGCCTGAAGGTTCGGTCAGACAATCGGGGACTGTCCAGACCTCTTCCAAGCCTCTTCCCCCAGTGCCCAAAATCTGTCGCATTAAAGCTTCAAAGGCACTAAAGAAGAAGATTAGGAGATTCCAACCTGCCTCTCTGAAGGTCATGACCATGGTTTAAGGGAGAGCAAGTGTCTGTTTCTTACAGTGGGACATCCTGCTGGCTCTCGTTTGCAAAACAGGAGAACCCCTGTGCAGAGAAAAGGACTTGCTTAAACAAACTGTGAATAACCCCTGAATCAACACAAGGGATCTTGTTTGTTAACGCCTGGACATAAATGTCACTGTATCTAATTTCCTCTTTTGCCACTTATTCTGTAAATATGAATCTGTGTATATTGTGTGATGCCTTTTTTTACTATGCAGAAGGGTCACCGTGGTAAAAATGAAAACAACCTCTGCCATAAGATTTTACAGGCAGGCTCTTGATGGTTTGTTGACCATGTGCACCCCCAGGATCAGTCCCAGACACAAAGGCTTCCCAAGGAGAGGGGCTCTTCCCAACTGGATATTTGGTAGCATCCCTCGCTCTTGTGAGGAATTCTTTGCAGTCTGAAGTCTGCATTAACCATCCAGCTGTCACTGTGCTGGTATGGAAAAGCTCTCAGTGCTCTCCATAGTTTTACTTTCTTTCAGGTCAACCATCCCATACCTTCTCCCAGAGATCAGGAGAAGTCTGTTGTTCCATAAAAACATACTATGTTTAATCAAGAAGACAAATGTATTTGTGAATGAGAACAGGAGTTCAGTTTGTTTCCTGTTTTCAAAACTGAGAGCATAGGGTTTTTTTTTCAAACCCCCTCTTTATGATGTTCCATATTATTGTTCATTTGTCGGATGGGTGAAAGAACATGAGGGCTCAGTGCCACAGTGTATGAATAGCTGGGACTAAGATTATAGTTTTGCCCCTGACATTACAGACTCAATAAATACTATTTAATGTACTTCTGAAAATTGTGCTTGTCTGACTTTGATGTCTAAAGAAAATTATTTGAAGTCTAATGTTGTGTCAGGAATGCAGAGGAGCTTTCTTGGGTGAAACAGATCTGTGTTTTCATGATTGCTGTGCAGAGCAGTTCTTTTTTATTTTTCAGAGGGTTGCTATAGCTCAGTCAGAACCAGGGTCCTTTCAGCCTCTACCTCAGGAAACCTGCTTCAGCACCTGCTTCTAAATGACTGAATTGAAAAACAGTATTTGTATTGAGGACAGAGTAGTGTTTAACTGACTCGATGCAATTTTGTCACAAGAACTCTTAATTTAAAACACATATTTATGTATACATAATGTGTTTTGAATGCATTTGAGGGCACCTATGTGAAGCTTTGAATCGGTTGCTAAACTGATGAAGTGATGTTTTTGTGTTCAGACAAGCAGTCCTAAATCTTTCCTCTGAGCACAGCAATCTGGAAGCTGGGCTGAAGTTCACCCTGTGTTTACCAAAGAGCAGGTTTTATCCTCCCACCCTGTTTCAGTGCCCAATCTGAATACATTCCTGGCCTAGGAGATGTAGGCATTACCTCATTCAGCCAAGTGTACTGGGTGTGAAACAAAAGGCAAGTGCTTTGCAGAAACTGTGGGTAAAAGAGTGCTTGTTTACTCCAAGGATTCATTAGCAAACAGAAGTATTGAAAGACTAAACTTTTAGGCAATGCCTTCTATTCTTTAGAAGCTGTGTTATAGTTTTAAACCGCTCTATTTCCAAATCATTTTTGGAAAATGAGGTAGAGAAAAGTAAAAGTTATGTCAAGTCATTTAATTCAAGTATTCTAGCTAGTGCATAACACCATCCTTACTGCAACTAGGAAAATACTACATTTTAGTCAGTGGAATATGTTTAAGCATTTTTTCACGGTCCCAAGAGTATTGGACATAATCACTCCCATAGGATTAATTGGAGAATTTCACAGGTCTGGTAGTGGTTTCTTGTTCAGCATGTCTAGCAACAGAACAAGCAAAATAGTGATTTATGCTGTGTTGACTTTCCACACCACAAAAGGATTCTTTTTCCCACTTACACAAAAGGTTTGGTTTGGGGGAGTGTGTCAAAAGTTACATATGAACCTTTAATCCATGGATTTTTTTGCATTGGGGTGGGGTTTATTGGTTAGATAGGGATTTTGAGGGTGTTTTTTCGTGGGGGAGGAAATTGTTCCTACCGAGAAAACGTTCTGAAACCTGGTAAAAACTGCCACCCAGTACCTCCCTGCGTTTTTATCAGAGTAAGCTCAAACAGTAAGTTTGTGGTCCTACAACTCAGTAAATCCCGCTTTAGGGCTGTTAATACTCCATCAGAAATGTTGCCAGACACATGATGAAAGTGCTGATCCAGAATGAACTCACACTGCCAATTCAAATAAAGAAAAACGATGACTTAATTTTGTACTGACAGGTTTTATGCCAGATGAGGTATCACTGCCTCTACAGCTCACACTTTCTGCCAGGTCAGATAACGTCTCTCCTCCCAGAGCCAGCGTAAAGCCAAGATAAAAGCATAAAGCTGGCACAAATGTCATCATCCTGTGCCTTGGCCAGTTTGACAGAAATATGATTATGTGCCCACACTTGATCCAGGGGAAACCTATGGTGCTGGAGAACCCCAGCAATGCAGAGAACCTGCTCTTAAGTGCTGAGGTATTACCATGTGCAGCGATGCTACTGAGCTGTGACTTTCTGGGGAGGGCAGAACGGGTGGTGCCACCCTTCCTTACTTCTGGACACTGGACCTTCTCCCTAGCACTGCCCTTCAGAAACACTGCTTTCCTCTGCTGAAGCAGAAACTGCTTTGGGACCAGAGCTCTCGAGGGAAGAAGTAGGACAGTGCAAAGCAGGGCAGGAGACTTGGGTGGCCAATACTCCACCTATATTGGCACCAAAATACGATTGTAGTTCAGTGCACTCGTAAAAATTAGTACGTTTTGTTGGCATGTACACTGAGAATTTTGGTAACAACTGTGTACGAGTGTGATGCCTCTCGGTGCTCCGTCCATCAGAAACTATGGGCTAGCTCTGCTGACAGGACTCCGGAATACTTGCCTCCTAAGCAAACAGATCTGAAACATATTTAAAATCAACAAATATCAATAAATACTTTGATGCACTATTCTTTTATATGTATATACAAACATCATAAAAACAGCTTTCAGCTCCCTATGAAGCCTCGGAGTGAGAATCAGGGATGCCCAGCTGTACTTGTGGTCATGGCAATACAAAATAGAAATACTCCCTGTCTATATTCCCTTCCAGAAGGAATCCACAGAATCTTTTTACCTTGCAGCCTCTTGTACTATAAAGGCCTAAGAGAATGCAAAAAATGTCAGTTGGTGATTCAATTAGAAGTCTAGCACCAAACCTGATACACTTCAGGAGTGAGAAGTTTAGCACTTTCACTGTGACTTGATTAGCAAGTGTATAGATCTGATGCTGTTTCAGAACAGCTTTATGCAGTGTCTCTGTAGCAGGAGCTAACATCTGTCATCATCCCTCCCAGCTCTAGTGAATCAAAACCATCCACTGCTGAAATCTATGCACCAGATCAGCAGTTTCCTTCTGTCAAAGGCAGACATTTACACTTCGGTGCAGGAGCAAATTGCTCCTAAACCACAAAGGAAAGAAAAGAAAGGAAAAAAAGAGATAATAGAAAGGGAATTAAGGAAGCTTTAAGAGCAATTTGCAGAATAGAGCAGAATTAAAACTTAATTAATACTTCATTGCCCTAATAATTTTGGAACTCAATAATTACCAGCCTTCTTGGCCTTGACACAATCTTAGATTTTTAAGTCCACGTCCAGTACCCAAACCATGGGATAGAGTCAGAGGACTGACGTTTTGTGGGAGACACCATCCTTCAGACCAGACCTTCGTTTGAGGTGACTTCTGGTCAGTCAGGGCACTGGTCAAAAGAAAGGCAGTTATCATGCGGTAAGTCTCAAAACCAGCTATGGATGATTCTCATGCTGGTGAACTTGAGTCCAGTGGACATTTTAAGGCTGTGCTGGAGTCTATTTTCTATTTGCTTACCCATCCTGGTCTGGAGCTCTGAAGAGGTGAGCACTGAAGGCTAGAGATGCTCCGGGAGCAGCTGAAAGGCAGGCGGTAGCGGTGGCTCTTTGTAAGCGAGTGGCTGCCCGCAGGACGAGGCAGGCTGAGTATGGCACCGGAGGCCTCTGGTGGTTCCAGCCCCAGCAGCCATTGCTAGTTTCTTTATCGCTGCTAGGACTCTAACCCAGCTCCAGGGCTGCTCAGGTGGCAGTGCAGGGATTTGGATGCTGCACTTGAAATAGTCACAGGCTACCTGCACCCAAAGCCACAGGCCGATCACTCCTGAGCTACAATGTCAGGGAGCACCCCAGAGTCCTTCCAGACTACCAAGCGCAAATGCCTCAGGCAAAGGTTGCTCAAAGGAAGCGTGCAGCAAAACAAGGCATCCGTGACTGCCGTCTCTGACAGGGAACAAGACAACAGTGTGCCAGGGAAGGACTGCCCAGTTCGTTCTCTGAAGCAATAGCAGCAGCTTTCATTTTCAAGCCCCTTTTGAGCCTTCCTCAACCACCCTGAGGCTGAAGAAATCACCCCAGCTGTGCTCAGTGGCAGAGAGTAGCTCAGCTTTTAACTACAGCAGCCCCTCTGTCCTCCACACCGCAGCAAACCCTTTGGCTCCTGCAGTGAGCTGCAGCACCTATTGCTCCCTAACCGTGAACTCAGCCCTCCTCGGTGAACATGCTCCCCAGGAAGCTGCGCTGAGATGAGCAGCTTGAATGACCGTGGAAAGGAAAGAACATATGTTAATCTGGAAAACAAGGAGTCCTAGGTCTGAAACTTGCCTGTGAGGAATACATACAATGACACCAATACAGCATTTAGGCAGTCTCCCATATCCTGTACGGATATGAAGGAGACCTGGGATTCCACCATTAGCTGCTACTCTGTACAGACAGCTACTGTAATACCTCAGCTACAGGTGAAGAGCAATCAACAGGAAAATGCTCAGCTAAGGGCTGTTTTTGGATGTTTGTATTTCTCAGGTTTAAAACCATCGCAGTATGTCTAATTATACTGCAATGCGGACCATCAGCAGAATAACAGCTGAAATGAGCAGAAGTCCAGCCACCATAAATTCTATT